CCTGCTGAATAGTCAGGTCATTGGGCTTCTGAATACTGAACTCTGAAGGGCACATCATAGGGCAAACGCTTTTATAGATGCAGGTTAGATCCTGGACACAAATTAAAACTTTATGTTGTATGTTTCATGCCCATGAGAATGGATTTCTCTGTTTATATATTTGGAGGCTAAATTATTGGGAAATATAAAATGGTCACACCTTTCTATTGAACTGACATTGTCCTTATTATGATGTCAATAATGTATTATGATATGCCATAATTCTTCTTTCCTTAAGTCTACCTTCTGAGACACTAATACAGCTACACCAGCTCTTTTCTGGTTAGCTTTTCATTATATCCTTTTTAACCCCTTCCTTCTCAATCTACTACATCCCAGTATTGAAAGTGAATCAGTTAAACAGCTTGTATTGGGCGTTTTCTTTATCTAGTCAGGCAATCTTTGTCATTAAGCGGGTATTTTTAGCTTATTTACTTTCTTCTTTGTTTACATAGAGAAACAATTAATCTTTATGGGTCTGTAGGTTTTCACAAAAGCCTAGAGTGTATGTCCATCACCATAGTCATGATATGGAAGACTTTCATCTTCCATAAAATTTCATCATGTTCTACCCAACCTTGGCTGTAATCTGTTCTCCAACGCTATAGTTTGCTTTTTCTGAAATGTCACCAAAGTAGAATTTTATAGTGTCACCTTTTGAGTTTGGCTACTTCTACTTAGCAAAGTGTATTTGAGATTCATTCATATTGTTGAGACATTCAATATTTCATTCCTTTTTACTGCTGAGTACTATTCAATGGTATCAATGTAACAGAGTTTGTCCATTCACCTGTTGAAGGACATCCGGACTATTCTCAGTATTTTTTTTTTAATGTTTTATTTATTTCTGACAGAGAGAGACAGCGTGAACAGGGGAGGGTCAGAGAGAGAGGGAGACACAGAATCCGAAGCAGGCTCCAGGCTCTGAGTTGGCTGTCAGCACAGAGCCGGACACAAGGCTCGAACCCACGAACCATGAGATCATGACCTGAGCCGAAGTAGGATGCTTAACCAACTGAGCCACCCAGGCGCCCCCTATTCTCAGTTTTTGATTATTGTTAATATAGCTGCAAAAACAGTCAACTATACAAGTTTCTGTGTGAACATAAGTGTTCATTTCTCTTAGATCAATAAGAGTGGGATTGCTATATTGTAAGTATACGTTTAACTTTATGTGACACTGACAAACTGTTTTCCGAGGTGGTTTTACATTTTTACACTCACACCAACATGTATGAGAGTTCTAGTTGCTGCACATTATTGCCAGCATTTGGTATTGTCATGTTTTGGGGGTATTTTTGTTTTAGATACTGTACTAGGTGTGTAAAAGGATCATACCATGGTTTTAATTTGCATGTCCCTTATGGCTAATGGCGTTGAGTATCTTTTCATATGCTTAGTTGCCTCCCACATATTTTTCTGGTGCTGTTTTTTTTTTTTTAACTTTATTTTGAGGTGGGGAGAGTGTGCACACATGTATCAGTCAGAGAGAAGCAAGGGGAGAGAGAGAGAGAGAGAGAGAGGGAGGTTGAGAGAGAGAAAGAGAGAGAGAGAGAGACTCTCAAGCAGGCTCTGCACTGTCAGTTCAGATCCTGATGTGGGGCTCGATCCTACAAACTGCAAGGTCGTGACCAGGACTGAAATCAAGAGTTGGATGCTTAACTGACTGAGCCACCCAGGCGCTGCTTTCTTTGGTGCTACTTTTACCACTTTGGTGAATCGTCTGTTCAAGTCTTTTGCCCATTTTTAAAATTGAGTCATTCTTAATTTTCAATTTTGAGAATTTTATATATATCCTGGGGAAAAGTCTTTATCAAAATGTGATCTGCAAATATTCCCTCCCATTTTCTTGCTTCCTTTTCATTTTCTTTACAGCAGCTTACAAAGAGGAAGGGTATACTTTTGGTAAAGTCCAATTTATCATTTTGTTCTTAGAGAGATTATGCTTTCTACAGTATATATAAGAACTCTGCCTAATCAAAGACCATAAATATTTTCTTCTATATTTAGCTGCTAGAAGTTTTATAGTTTTACATTTTACATTTAAATTTATATGCATTTTGAATGAAATTTTGTGTGAAGTGTGAGGGATGGGTAAATTTTCCTTTTTTTGCAAATGGCAAATCGTTGCAACACTGTTTTTTGAAAACATTAACCTTTCTCCATTGAATTTCCTTTAAAATTTGACAAATATCCATTTATTGCTTTTGTGTGTGTGTGTCTATGTCTGCTTTCATCCTCATTATTTCCTTTCTTCTTGCTCTGAGTGTACTTTGTTCTTTTTCTAGACTCTTAAGATCGAAGTTTTTAGATTAGTGTTAAAAAAAAGTGTTTAACACTATGAATATTTGTTTAAGCGGTCCTTTAGCTGCATCCTCAAATTTTTCATATGTTTTAATTCATTCTAATTAAAAAAAAATCCTTTGCAATTTCCTCTTTGACCCATAGATTATTTACAGGTATGTTATAAAATTTCTAAATACTTAGATATCTTCTGGAAGTAACTCTTTTTGTTTTCTAGTTGAATCTTACACTGGCCACAGAATATACTTTGTATGATCTTTGTTTTAACAATCCTTTAAGGTTTGTTTTATAGCCCAGCATAAGGTCTTTCTTGGTTAATATTCCAGGTGCACTTGAAAAGTTGAAAAGAATGTATATTCTGCTGCTGTTGAATGTTGTATAATGTCATTTTAAGTTTCTCCCCTTTTCCCCTGATGATATACCTTGTTTTGAAGTCTGCTCTGTCTAATAGTATAGGTTTGCTAAGGCTGTGCCACAGCTCTGGAGGATAGAAATCCAAAGTCAAGGTGTGGATTCCTACTGAGGGCCGTGAGGGAAGGATCTGGTCCAGGATCTCTTGTTGGCTTGTAGACCCATCTTCTCCCTGTGTCTCTCCACATCATCTTTCTCTTTATGTATCTCTGTGTACCTTTTCCCTTTTTACAAGGACACCAGTCACACTGGAGTAGGATTTACAGTAATGACTTTATTTTAACATGATTACCTCCATAAAGACCTACTCCTTAAATCAGATCACATTCTAAGGTACTTAGGGCTAAGATTTCAATGTATCAATGTGTGGATTTGATTCAACCCTGATGGATTGTAGTACAGTTACTCTATTTTTCTTTTAGTCAGGGTTTACATGGAATATCATTTTCCATTTCTTTAAACCAATCTATATGCAATATTTAAATCAGCTTCTTTTTATAGACAGCATATAGTTTGTCTCTTAATTGTCACATTTAGACCACTTATATTTAGTATGATTGTTGATATGTTTGGATCAAAATCTACCATCTGGCGAGGTGTTTTCTATTTGTTCCATTTTTTTGGACTTTTCAAGTTAATTGAGCATTTTTATGATTTTATTTTATCTCCATAATTGACTTATTATTTATTTATAACTGTTCTTATAATTATTTATTGATTGCAATAAGGCTTACTAATATATCAATAACTATTTAGATTCCACCTTCAAATACTGTTATAGTGCTTCCTGCATGGTGTTCCCTTACCTTATAATAATGCATTCCCAATTCTTCCCACTTCTTGGCTATTGTCAGCATGCATTTTATTTTTACCTATGCTATATGAAACAACACACATATACAACAACATATTGCTATTGTTTTGCTTAGAATTGTTATCTTTTAGAAAGTAAAAATGCAAAACTATGCACTTTATTTTACATTCATTTATTGCTGCACTCTTCATTTCTTTATATAGATCCAAGTTTCTGTATAGTCTCATCTTTCTTTTGCTTAAAGTATTCCTTTCTATAACTCATATAGTACAGATTTGCTGGCTTTGAATTGTCTGTTTTTGTTTCTCTGAGAAAGCCTTAATTTCACCCTCATTTTGAAGATATATTTTCTGGCTTTAGAATTCTGGGTTTATGTCCCACCCCCCCCCTTTGGACACTTTAGAAATGTGACTCCTTTATCGTCCACCTTGCTTGGTTTCTGATTAGAAGGTTGATGTGACTCTTTTCTTCTGGCAAGTTGTGCTGGTTGCTGGCAGGAGGCCTCAGTCTCTCACCGCATAATGCTCATTTTGAGGTTGCTTGAGTGTCCTTAGATATGGCTTCTGACAGTCCCCAGAGCAAGTGATTTAAGAGAGAGAGCAAGGAGGAAGCTTATAGTGCCCATGTGCCATGTGTTGACACAGTTAACAGAGTTCTTAATTATCTTTTCCTGTCTGAGAGGGTATTCTAAACTCTAATTCATACAATGAAATCCTGAAGGATACAAGATATTTAATGTGAACAGTAAACTCTATAAAGTTAAAGAAAATATCATATAATGTCCTTGTAAACTTAGGGCAGGGAAAGCTTTCTTTTGAAAAGACCCCAAAAGCACAAACCATGTAGATTTAACTACATCAAAATCAAGGATTTGGGTTAGATGAAGGAGTTCCTAGTTAAAATTAACAAGGACTAGAGTGGGAGTAGGTATCTCCAGTGCTAAAAAAAGAAAAAGTTACAATTTCTTCCAAATCGCAAAGAAAAACATGAGAAACCCAAATGGCAACAGATTAAAAAAAATGGCAGCAGATGTGAACAGAGCTGTAACTATCACACACAGGAAGAGGGGCTAACCCACACTAGAGAGCAGAGAAGACAAATGGAGAAAAGTCTGGTGCAACCTTACACACTCACGATGGGCAAAACCCGGATAGTTGGATGATGTCAAAGTTGGAAAAGGGGGTGGGATGGAGGGCAAGGGGAAGTCTGGGCTCCACCCCCCACCCAGTGCCACAGGCCACGGGACCCAGGTGGGCGGCGCGCAGTGTGTGGTGCGTGCACCTCCACCCACGCACGCCCCTCCGCTGCGTCTCACTCGGAGCCGGAGACGCACCTCGTCCGCCCCGTGGCGTCATAGCCTCGCCCGCTGGCCCAGGGACAAATCTCCTCATGGGGACCTGCTGCCTTTGAAGTTTGTTTTGCTCTTGGGAACATGAGTGGTCGCGCCCGCGTGAGGGCGCGAGGCAGGGCCCGCAGCCCCAGGCCCGCGGAAGTGGGGTGCACCCCAGCCCCGCCGTCGGTGTGTAGAATGCGCAGCCTACACGGTCTTGCTCTCTCCTAATCTGTCTTCTTGTTGGACACCTCCTTTCTCTGCATTTATTTCTCCCTCTCTGCTGGGAAGGAGCCGCATATCTTCCCTTTCCGCTTTGAGTCTTTCCGGGGTTTGTCACATTTTTCCTTTCTGGGGGTCTCATCTGAGTAAGATAATAATGAAAATATTTTGGTTCGCGAGGAGTACTGATAACTGGAGCCCAGTGTGTCAGGCTTTCCTACTTTTTGAGTGTTGTTAAATTACTTGACTCGGTTCTAAGTCTCCTGGTAAAAAGTCCAGTACCTTCATTGTGCTATTAAAGAGCATAAAACCTAATATATTTGTCTCACCAATTCATGCATAAAAATAATTTCAAATACAGATGTGGTTTAGATTCGATTGCTATTTCTCGACAAACCACTGTGGGTAGGCCCCCACCCTTCCACTAGACTTAGGCAACTAGATTAATTGGCTGGCAACTCAGCAAATTTTGGGTGATATTATTACTACTTGTCAGGATTTGGAGCAGTCTCTTAGACCGAAAGTACTCAAAAGTGGGTAATCTGTGGTCATTGTGCTTTTATTTTTATGACATTGCTTTCTCTTGACTTCATGCATTTTATTTCAGCAGTCTAAGATACTTTTCTTCTTAAACAACAATAAATAGTTACTGTGAAAAGAGAAAATATTAATGGTTCCCTCCACCTGTTTTGTGAACTAATTTTGGACCGATTTATTCAGGAGAGTCCTCACCCGAGCCGGTGACCCAGGTCCTCTGGGCCCAATTTATTTTCTTGCTACCAACCTGTTCACACTGGCATTCCCACGGGCGTAGACAGTGAAGGCAGGTGGTCTGCGTTCATCGGTGCCACCTTCCCTGTGATGACCTCCGCGGGCATGAGAATCACGGCTCGCCTCTCTGTACCTCCAGGGTGTAACAGCTGCATCTGGCTCGTAGTCAGAATTAAGGTTTGATAATGGGGAAAACTGTAGCTTGCCTTTATCCTTGTTTCCTAGAATGGGCGGTCTCTTATCATCTCTCAAGCGATTTACCTGTTAGCATTAGCTGATGGTAGTCTGAGGACTTAAGACATGATACAGTTCTTCTTTTGTGTTAACTTTTTTGTTTATGACTTGACATCTTAAATCTAACCAAGGTGTGTGTGTGTTTCCTATTTTAGCCTACGTCTGTTGATATTGGTGACAATGAAGCATCCTCTATCAGCAGCTTTGCAGAAACAAGCAGGATTTCTCAGACACGTAAGTGCAACTGCATCTGCTCCACTGGGCTCCTTTCCATCTGTGTGGGCTTGGGAATGACCACTCAGTGTTACAGCAGCAGGGTCACTTCTAGAACATCCCATTTACCTTTTCTTGGAGGATCCCGGGTGTTTGTGTATTACGTTTCTTTGGGGCTCCCCAAACACAGTCTGCTGCTGAATTTCCTGAGACTGCCTGGCAGCTGGGCATCCACAGGCACCAGGAGTCCAGTTTTCTGAGCTTTTATGTTCAGGAAATAACTTTAAATTAAAAAAAATTCTTTATGATATTTAGGTGTCAATGCCACCACCCTGCAGGGAGGGCAGAAACCGGGCTTAGCCGCTGCCACTGCTCTCTTCTTTTATTCCCCCACCTGTGGTAGACATCACCATTTGATGGCAGCTGTCTTCACTGCAAATCCAGATTTGGCCTCAGGGGACTTGTCAACATGCTGCTGCCAGTAGCCACCATCATAGTGTGTGGTGGCATGCCCCGTACGCTAGTTTATGAGCACTGCTGTAACAGAGTACTGTAGACTGGGTGGTTTGAACAATTGAAATGTGTTGTCTCATAATTCTGAAGGCTGGGAGTCCAACCTCAAGGTGTCCACGAAGTTGGTTTCTTCTGAGGCCTCTCTTCCTGGCTGGTAGATGGCTGTCTTCTCCCTGTGTCTTCACGTGGTCTCCTTTCTGTATTTGTCTGTGTCTTGATCTCTTCTTATAAGGACACCAGTCATACTGGATTAGGGCTCATGCTGATGACATCATTTTAGCTTAATTGCCTTATTAAAGAATCTGTCTCCAAAAACAGTCACATTCTGAGATATTAGGGGTTAGATCTACAACATATGAAATTTGGGCCACAATTCATCCCATTCAACCGCTGCTAAAACCTGTTAGCCATCTCCCTTGTTCTTACTGTGAAGTTAAGTGATTGATTGCTAATAACCATGTAAGCTCTAAGCACTAAGGGTCTCCCAGACTCTCTGGATCAGCAGTCCCTTCACCATCAGATGCCTGGCTCTCTTGTTCTCCACCGGGGTTTTTCCAGCTCTACTCAAGGACCCCTCTGTGATCTGAGTTCACAGAAGTGAACTGGTCTTTCAGAAGACCTGTTCTCAGAGGCCGTGCATCAGGTCCAGCAACACTGCCACCATTCAAAGACTAGTTCAACTTCTCTTGGGAATTTCTTTCCATGCCTGCTGCCCGTCCTTGTGACTAGCAAGTGATGGAGATTAATTTTTATTTATATATTTTTTAAAATTATGGTAAAATATTCATAATGTAAAATTCACTGTTTTGGCCATTTTTTAAATGTTTATTCATTTTTGAGAGATGGAGAGAGACAGAGCATGAGTGGAGGAGGGGCAGAGAGAGAGGGGGAGACACAGAATCTGAAGCAGGCTCCAGGCTCTGGGCTGTCAGCAAAGAGCTCGATGCAGGGCTTAAACCCACAGACCGTGAGATCATGACCTGAGCTGAAGTCAGACGCTCAATCGACTAAGCCACCCAGACGCCCCCAGCCATTTTTGATTGTATTACTCCATTGGCGTTAAGGACATTCGCATTGTGAACCACATCACCACCACCACCATCATCTCTAGGTGACTTTTTTTCACCTTACAAAATTGAAACCCCGGACTCATTAAGCAATAACTCCCCATTTCCCCCTCGCTCTAATCCCTGGAAACTACTATCTTACGGTAGATTAATTTTTTTAGAAACCACACAACATCTTTTGAAACCAAGAGTAGTGAGTGATATGGATAATATAGCAAGAATAATTTTAAACACCTTTAAATTAAATCAATTTTGTAATTTTCCTGGGAGACTCAGACTCCACTGAGAAGGGGATGAACAATGGTTTTGAGCAAGTGATGGTGTCATTTGGGGGTGGTTGCAGTTGCTATATCAAAAGACAGTAGTCAAGTCAGAGTCTTAGAGGTTGGTTATACTGTTACTTAGTAATAATATGACCACACTTACTTTGTAGTGATATTTTATATTTTATTTTCATATTATCTTTGAAGTGCCAACATTGTATCCAAAAAACCCAACATCTCTTTGTACTTGTTTAAACAGAAAATGTTCATTTGGAAACAGTAAATATCTGAATTTCATATTCAGATAAACCTAACAGTAAATAATATGCCCAAGGTGAAATGCTGGCTTTGATTTCCAAGGGAATGGTCTAGAATAAAAACTGGTAGCAGTGTTCTGGGCATTTTAGAGTAAGACATTCGGTCCCAATCTGGGAAGAAGGTGGTGTAGACAGTCTTAGTCTATGACTCTTCAGGGTGTTTGTTACACAGGAGTTGAGGGAGGGAGAGCTACCCCCCATTGGTGAGTGTGGAGAGGGGTAGAGGGGGTAGAGCTTTTTCTCCATTGCCAAGAGGAGGAGCAGACTAGACCAAAATGTTATGAGGCAGAATTAACTCATCTCTTTGTTATTTCTAACAAAACATACCATGCTTCTTTTACAATTTTCAATTCATAGGCTGAAAACTTCTGTATAGTCATGGTTGTTTTCAGCAGTGTGGACTAGTTTTAAAGCCACAAAAATCTGAGCTTTGGTTATTGATGCACTTTTGATATAGTAGTTGTAAACAATATCACTAGAATGAAATAGGAGCTTTTATGACATTGTCTTCATATTTTAGATGAAGATGGTGTATCCCCTGGTGATGTACAATGTCCTTTCATCCAAAGAGGTGGGAAAATCAGACGGGACTTCATGGATCTGGGTGTCCGTACCAGAGAGAAATTGTCCCATGTGAGAGATTGTAAAACAGGTACCCAGTCTTCATGTTACTTACTTTTTGATTGAGGAATCAAAAAGCTTGTTTTCCAGCTTGAGGAATTTTAATTTCTATATCTAAAGTAAACAGGTGTATATGTTGACTTAAAAGATATTTATTGGGGCGCCTGGGTGGCTTAGTCGGTTAAGCGTCCGACTTTCGCTTAGGTCATGATCTCGCGGTTCGCGGGTTCGAGCCCCGCGTCGGGCTCTGT